TATGAAATTATGAAAAGCAGAAGCTTTATCTATTTGAGAAGATGAGTTCGGGAAGACAGCCGAAGGATGGATAAAAACATTTTATTATGGGCAAGTCAATTGCCTATCTCATCTCGAGATAGCTACAGACATCTAGCTCTCCGCAGAAGAAAGTTAAAGTAATACACACAAATATAGACAATCTTGTAAGTGGTTAACAATACAGTTATAAGAAAGATATCAATTACAAAACACATCGAGAGCCATCCAGTTTGCATAAGATCTCTTGCGCACGGAAGCCTTGAATTTGAACCAGATTACCGAAAAAAGGGACAGTATTCAGCAGGATTGCATCATTTTTTGGAAGGGGGGAAGGGGTTTACATTCTCTTAATTTCTATTTATTTATTTATTTGGATATTTCTCTAAAGATCTTTGATTGTTTATGAAGCGGCTCAGTTCAGTGCACGCTTCTCTTTATTTTTAATAAAAGTTAGATGAAAAATTATTACTCATTAGGTCTTTAAATACTAGAACCATTTAAAAGTTAATACTAGTAATTTAAATAGGGTTTTTCAAAATTTCTTAACTATTATGATTCCATTTTTTTATTACTATGTTAAATAGCGCAAAACACTCATCTAAAATTGCATCACGATTTTTTCTCTTTTCGACGAATTGAAATTCAGATTTCATACTCCAAATTCTGATGTGGAGGTGCATAATACTCTCAATGCGGTACACTTTGGCCAGGGGTGGCACCAGAGGGGTGGGTTCCGGGAGAGACCCATGGACCCCCTGTCGGAGATGCTATGCTCCCCCGTCGGGGGAAAAAATCTTGTAGCCTGTTCACGCTACGGGCTATTCAACTAGTAGACAAATAAAGATCTGCCGAAAAGTTGAGAGGATGATCACTACGCCCCTCCCATTGTGCAGCAGGTAGTGCACAATGGGGGGGCGTACCCCCCGCCCTTGACTTACACGTCCTTGCTATTTAATCAATTTAAGTCAGAGTTTTAAAGCGTATTTTTATTTACAATTTATCTATATTTTATTTATGACAATATATGTTATTTCTGTTGCTTAATATCTGAAATACTATCGAAGAAAATAATGAGATACTGAGGAAAACCAGATACCTGGCCAAAGATAACAACGGCTTACAATCATCAGAAAGTATAGAACATTCGTCTCAGGAGAATCGATCAATTACAATTACAAACAACAATCAGCACAGATAATGAAGCAATGGCAGCAGAGAAGTCGACACAACCTACAACCAGCACATTTTCACAATTGCAACAGTTGAATATAGCTGTTGTAAGAAAGCGAGTGCAGAACAAGCTCTATTAGTAACTACACTATCTTTAACAACAATTAATATTTAAAATAATAACTCTATCTAAAAATAAAATAATAACTTTAGTTTTAAACTTTATCAGAATTTTTTCCAAGCAACTGAAATTTGAAGGTGGCTGATTTAGAAAACTGAGTTACCAATGAAATAGAAATAGCGTAATAATGATAATTTTCAATATAAAATTGCGAATTTGATTAAATAAAAAGTCATATCATGTCCTGGGCATGACGTCGGGATCATGTCGACAGGCAGGCTTGCCTACACCTATCCTCGCTTCGTTGTGCCACTTTTCCCCACCGCCTTAGTCCACCGTGAAAGCAATTAAACTTCAATTTACTTAAAATCTAAAATAAATTTCTAATTTTTAACTTCTTCGTGAAAGAAAGAAACGTTCGTCATCGCCGTTGTGAAAAAAGCATTGTCAGAAGTGGGATTCGAACCCACGCCCACATTCGTAGACCAGAACCCTCAGCACTCTGCATCAGAGCAGGATTTTTTCTTGAATCTGACGCCTTAGACCGCTCGGCCATTCTGACACAGCCGTGCGACAGCGTAAATTTTTAATCACAATAGCTGCGATAATAGGCTGTGGTTGTTCCTGATAGGAAACTTCTCATTGGAGATGAAAGTACAAGGTTCATTTCCTCTACAGTCTTTTCAAATAGTTAAGAGACGCTTTGTTTGCTTTCTCCATAACGTTTTGCGTTCATTTGGTTTCTGCTTTCCAGTAAAAGTGCTGGGAAACTTACATTAAAACCCATCAGTGGCGGCGAGTTGGGGGGGGGGCAGCCTCCTCTCTACTTTTTTAGGAAAAAGTAAAATTTTTATTTCATTTTAACTGCCTAAAACAAAGAATGGCTCAACTTAAGAATACGGGGCGGTCCGCCAAGTTGAATTTTTTTTTCCTCGCCAAATTGATTTCTCGCCAAATGTGGTAACCTTCTTCATTTGCTTGGCAACCCTAAAATGTTGCCAGAATTTGCATACGGTTGTCTCTTCTTTTGCCTTCTGTCGCTCGGACGTAGTGGTTGCGTTTGCCTCTTTAGCCCTACCACGTGCACTCCAGGACTTTCCAAAAATCCCGTTATGTCTTCACGTGAGAATCATCGCGCTGCCGAAAGCCGTGCTGGTTTGTTTGATCTAGAGGTTTTGTATGGTTTGAAGAAAGGGCCCAAGAAAGATGTGATTGATTGGTGTATGAATATGAATATGATCGCAAAAGAGTATGTGTGTCCGACATGTGGTGAGAAAATGGTTTTGTGTGAAAGGAATGATATTTCTGATGGTTATCATTGGGTTTGTCGAAAGTTTGGTATGAATGCTCATCATGTTAGAAGGAGCGTGAGAAAGGGCAGTTGGTTCGATGAAAGTAAGTTAAGTATACCTGAAATTTTGATGATCACCTATTTGTGGGCCAAAAAAACATCGAATGAGTGGATTGTGGATGAGTTGAGTGTGTCCGAGCCAACTGTGGTCGATTGGAAAAGTTTTTGCAGGGAAGTGTGTGTGGATATGCTTGTGAATGAGGATAAAAAATTGGAAATGCTTGGTGGTGTCGGCGTGGTTGTGGAAATTGATGAAAGTAAGTTTGGCAAAAGAAAATATAATAAGGGTAAGCAAGTGAATGGTAAGTGGGTGTTTGGTGGAGTTGAAAGAGGGAGTAAGAGGAGTTTTTTTTGCGTGGTTGAGGATCGAACGGCAGAGACGTTGATCGAAATCACCAAAAAATACGTTAAGCCTGGGAGCACGGTACTTACGGACTGCTGGCCTTCTTATAATGGCTTGACGGCGGAAGGCTATGTGCACCACACCGTCAACCATTCTAAGAATTTCAAAGATCCAATAACGGGTGTCCATACCAACGGAATCGAAGGTACCTGGGGTGCTATCAAGGCAGATTTCAGGAAGCAAGGCACAAGAAAAGTTGCAGGGCAATTTGATACGTATTTAGCTGAATACATGTGGCGGAGAAGTTTTCGTGGTTCCTCAATGAAATCCATTTTGCCAGCTCTTATTGGAGGCATCACTAAATTGTATCCGCCTCATACACAAGATCACGTGCCCGGCATATGAAGTAAGTGTATTTTTTTTAATAAAATTTCAATTGTTTTATTATATTTAATTTAAAATTTGCACGTGTATTTTATCGAATAGGGGGGTGGGGGGGGCTGGCCCCCCCACTATATGTAGTTAAAATTCTATTCTTTCAGTTTAAAATTAGTTTTTCAATTGTTTTATTATATTCAATTTAAAAATGGCACGTGTTTTTTATCGAATCGGGGGGGATGGGCCCCCCACTATATGCAGTTAAAATTAAATTCTTTAATGCATCATGTCATCTTGCAATTCACTTAAAAATCGCTTACATTCCTGCAAAATTTCTTACAATTTTATGTAATATTTGCAATTTTATGTACTCATTGCATTTTTTTCAACGCTGGTCATTAGAATCGCCGCCATCTTGAAACCATCCAAGATGGCGGATCTTTGGCGACTTTTTGGTTGGTTGGCGAGATTTTTGAATTTGGCGAGAAACCGCCCCGTTAACTTTAGTCTTACCCAAAGAATTATGGAAAAGCAAGAGTGATCGGAAAAAATAGCTAATATTTAACTAAATTTTTAATTTATGGAGTCTATCCCTTTTACTCCCGGGTCTGTTAGATGTCTATAAATTTTGCCTCCTCACTTTTCCAACACAATCGCCGCCGCTGAAAGCCATGATCTGCACCAGAATTAGAATTTTCTTGAGTCTGGCCGTGATCTTCGAGATATGTAGGTCACGGTCTGGCGCCTTAGAAGAGTTCAACAGCGGTGCGAGTTTAGGTTTTATCCACAATAGCTGCGATAATCGGCAGTAGTTGTTCCAAATAGGAAACTTCTCATTGGAGATGAAAGTACAAGGCACATTTCGTCTATAGTTTTCTTTTCAAATAGTTAAGAAATAGATAATTTGTTTGCTCTCTCCATAGTGATTTCCGTTCATTTGGTATCTGCTTCTAATAAAAGTGCTGGGAAACTTACGTAAAACTCATGATAAACTACACTCGCCATATTTTTTAAAAAGCGCAGTGATAACGACGACGATTACTTATCAATATTCAGGACGCTGGTTGGTGAAATGATTTCTATCACAGTTTTTTCCTTTGTCTGACGGTGTTCTGCACAGCCCGGCTAGCTCAGTCGGTAGAGCACGAGACTCTTAATCTCGGGGTCGTGGGTTCGAGCCCCACGTTGGGCGGTTTGTTTTTTAGTCTTTCTGGGTTATTAATTCGGGTGAATTCTGACGAAGTATGCAAATACGAAAAAAGTTCAGAAGTCATCCTGAATTTCTTTCATTTTTTTTGAAATTCTATAAAGGGGCACAGTACTAAATGGTCATTTTATTTGCCTAGTAAGTTTCTATAAAGGGGCACAGTACTAAATGGTCATTTTATTTGCCCTTTTTGTTTATCATATTTTGCTTTCTTCATACAAAATATTCGTTTTCTCGAATCTATTTTGTTTCATTTATTCTGTGCTGTTGAACAATAAAAACTTTGAAAGTTAAGAAAACAGGTTAAGAATGAAACAAACTAATCAATTGTATGTTATTAGAACGGCTGAAAGTCAGTAGCTTTATTTTCAGCAGTAGTTATGAAGACTGCTGTCGCGTACCCATGGTGTAGTGGTTATCACATCCGCCTAACACGCGGAAGGTCCCAGGTTCGAAACCTGGTGGGTACAAGTTGCTTTTTTATTTTTATTTTTTCTTTCATGAAAAATGTTGATGTTCGTACATATGATTTTATTGAAGGCACATAAAATATACTTTTAAGATAAATATCCGTGCATTGTATGCCCGCAGGCAGAAAAACTAATACAAGCTGGCCCATGGGGGGATCGAACCCACGACCTTCGCGTTATTAGCACGACGCTCTAACCAACTGAGCTAATGGGCCATCGAGTGCTATTCGGTAAATAGCAAATAAAGTTGAAAAGGACACATTTTCGGAGTTTGTTCTTGAAAGCTGTATTTTTGTTGGATGTCCCTCAATCGGTTATAGTATAATTGGACAACAGCCATCGAAAATAGAGCGAAGATTGATTTATTTCAAATTTTTCGGGGTTGGAAAAAGAAATTCTAGCTTTCGAAATTCTTTTCTACAAAGGCATTTCGGGAACTCACTCAAGTGTTTGACATCTAGGCTCTTTTCAGTTTCTGCAAATATCATTAATCTACCTATATGCGATATAAATTTATTTTATACAGATAATATGGATTGGTATCAGTAAAATTTATTCAAAAATATCGTAAAAAGATTACTGCATCGGCCGGGAATCGAACCCGGGCCGCCCGCGTGGCAGGCGAGCATTCTACCACTGAACCACCGATGCTCGTGTGTATGCTGACCGATTGCAATTCGTTGCTGAAGATCAAATGCCCTCATTTTTTCAACTGGAGGAGGTTCCAGGTAAATAAGAGGCAATTATTCTCAGCATAAGAATTTAATCTTCTGGGTTAGCTTTTTTTATGTAGAATTTTTATGAAATAGAAATAAAAAAAATCATAGAATGAATTTTCTTAAAACAGTTCTTTGTTAAATTATTTCACTGAAATGTTTGAATGTCTTTAAATGGAGACCACAGTCACATGAAAATCTTCAAATACATTTATGTTAATTACTAGCCGCCTTCGGCGACCAGCTTGATCGCCGGAAATAAAACTTCAACTGAATCTCTTTCTCATAATTTTATATTCATGGTTCCTGTTTCGTATTGTAAAATATTTAATTCTGTTTATATTTATGTTATTCAACTTATAATGATATTTATTTCAATATTTAAACTTAAACAGCTCCACCTATAACTTACGAATTATTTTAGTTTTACTTTATCTTTGTACAGTATGGCAACAGGATGTAAAAAAGTGAAGCTTGTTCTGAATCTGTTTTTCCATTAATTGAAGAACTGTGGTGCGTAATCAAAGCTGTTTTTTGAACTTCATGAACATTTATTTTTGTATACTTTCGTGATTTTATTATTCAGCTGGAGATTTTTTTGATCATTTAAATGATTTATGTATAAAACGCGTCCGTGGAATAATTTTAGCTGTTAGTGGTTACATTTATGGCATCCGCGATAGGACTATTTTACTTCTGTTTCTAAACATGTTTAAAGCAGCTAAAGGTTTTCTAAAAGAGGAATTGTTGTTTGTCGCCGAAGAAATTGGTGAGACACTGCCTAAAAAGATAAAAATTGCGTAACTGAAAAATATTATTTTGAAGAGTAAAGAATATTTGGAAGATCCAGACTTTGCTACATGTATTTTGGTAATGGCTGTCAAAGAACGGAAAGAAAAAGAAGAGGAAAATCTAAAACAAACAAAATATTAGAAACAGGAAAGGATAAGAGAACATGACAAGAATTAAAGCAACATTCGCTAACTGCAGGTGAGTCTCAAAGTCCTGTTATATATGGTGATAAAAAGAAATTTAATCTACCAAAATTAGAATTTAGACAGTTTAATAGTGATATTAAGGATTCAACATATTCATAA